TCGAGTTTTATAAAACGATCTCTCGAGTTTTATAAAACGATCTCTCGAGTTTTATAAAACGATCTTCGAGTTCTTATAAAACGATCTCTCGAGTTTTATAAAACGATCTCTCGAGTTTTATAAAATGATCTCTCGAGTTTTATAAAACGATCTTCGAGTTTTATAAAACGATCTCTCGAGTTTTATAAAACGATTCTCGAGTTTTATAAAATGATTCTCGAGATTCATAAAACTGTTGCGTTTACGCGTTTGCGGGGAATTTTGGCTATTGATTCCGTCGTACCGATTTTGACCCCAACAATTACTCTTTAAGTAGATGGACTTGTGGCTTTGACACTTAATCAAGATAAAAAAGAAGACCATTCATATGAGATGATATCATATGTCTAATCAATAGTTTTGTGAGTTTGTTTATCTTTGATGATGTTTTCCACTCTTCATATTTGATGTTTTCAGACAGTGAAGAAAGGAGACACTATCTTTGTTGGATACCTATTCACTGGTACTGAAATAACTTCAGTTTGGCTTGAGGTAAAATAAAATAGAAACTTATGAATGGTCTCTATGTTGAATTTGTGTTTGTTGAAAAAAAAAAGAGTCGATATGATTTTTCAAAGATGCTCTACTTCCTCTGTTCTTCTCATTCATCTCTGGGCTTGTTTTCTTGATTGTAAATAAATTAATGGTTCTTCTTTTTAATGGTCTAAGCAATTCCATGACCACATCGAATTCTGTCATGACCAGTCATGGAGATGGAGGATAAATAAATTTCTTTGATCACAAAACGTCCTGATGTTCATCTAGAGATGGAAAATGTATGGTCTTAATGAATTAATAGAAAACTTATATAAGTTATATTTTATAAGGCATAGATTTTAATCGCAGACAACATCACAACAATTCTTCTGCGTAGTATCCAAAAAAAACTATCTTAAGCTGCAACTTCTTCATCCTTTGAAAAAGGATCAGGGGTTGATGCGCTCTTCATATTTTGTTCAATGTTCAGATCATGGTTCGGAAGGGTGATGAAGCTGCGGCTCAGGAGGATGAGAAGGTTGGGAAAGAGCATGAGGTAGAGTGGGAAACAGAACCAGAGCTGGATTTTGAAAAACAGAAGGAGAAGGAGGAGAAGCAGAAAGCTTTGAAGGAGAAAGAGATGATTAATAGTGCTGTGTACAAGGAGAGAGAGATGCAGAAACAAGAAGAGGTGAAGCTTTTAAGGAGGGTGGCTGCTGAGGCAGGGAGGAAACGCACAGAAGAATAAGAAGAAGAGGTCGAAGAGTGTTAAGCAGCAGAGAGAGAAGCTGCTGACTTAGAATGAGCCAAGAGAGAGAGAGAGAGAGAGAGAGCAATTCCTCTTGGCAGAATGTCGAAAGGACCTGCTGCTACACATGCTACAAGAGTCAGAAGAAGTTATTTGATAATTTGTCGCTGCTTAGATGAATTCTATGATAAGTTATTAAAATCGGCATAAACATATATGCATTACATTTATATATAGATGAATTAGAAACCTGTTTTATTAGTGTGTCTCAAACATTTTGTGATAATATACTGAACAGGTGCTGAAACTGTTAAATAGGTACCAAAAGTTTTCACTACAAGCAGATCAAGAAATTCGTTTGTTCGTGTTCTCATCCCGCCGTGTCCATGCGGCATGCTTCTTCTTCATGACACTTGATTTACCAAGCTCTCATTCAAGTTTTTACGTTATGTAGTAACTTTGTTCTACCAAGAATTGCATGCTTTGCTTTTAAAATTTTTAACTTACGAGCCTCTTCACATATACCTTATTAAATAGTACACATATTATAAGAATATTTAATTCGGTTAAACTGAACCAGTTAAAATAGAATCAAATCGAAATGGAGAAAGTGGTTGGATTTGGTAATATCAAATAAAACAAATGAATGTTATTTTAAACAGCAACGGTATGTGTATATGGTTTAGTATATAAACTGATCAAACCGACTCTAACTACATAAACAAATTTATTAAATATGTAAATTAATAATATCATTAATAATACATCCAATTTTTATATATGATCTTCATATTTTAATATGTTGATTTACGCAATTTTATATTTTTATAAGTTCAAAATTCTTTTTTCACTTTTATCAAATTAAGTAAAACATTTTTTTTCTTTTTTGGTGACAAATATTTGTGCTAATATTTATTTATTTATAATATTATGAAATTATAAAATTTTAATTAAATAAATTTATTATTAATTAAAAATTAACTAATATATAATATTGTAAATAAAATATTCTTAATATTTTGAACAAAAAAACAATAAAATAATTAAAAGAAATTTTATACTCCAATTTTTTTTTATAAAAAATGTAATATATTGTTATCTAAACATTATTGTAGTTTTCCAATACATTTACAAATACACTTTAAATTGTTTTTTTTTAAATATATCAAATCCCGCGCGAAGCGCGGACTTCCCCTAGTATCATTTTGGATCAAGTCATATTTGTTCACCGAATCATTTAAAAAAATATAATCACATCATCGAATACTCAATGTTCAGAAAACATACAAAAAAAATTTAGAATAGAAATACAATATTTTTGTTTACCAAAATGAAAGAATTTTTTAACAAAAGAGTGTTTCATTCTTTGCAAACTAGCAATTCTGCGAATAACTCTACTGTACCTGCATAATGAATCAACAAAAGAGATTAACTTTGTAAATGAGAGAGAGGAAAACTAAAAATGACAAGATACATCATTTGTTGTGTGAACTGTTTTAGAAGACCTTCCTTCAGTTCAATCTGATCAATCAATTATAGGAAGACAGAATTGATGAGTAATAAAGATAAACACAATAAAGTTTGTTTGTTTATCAAGCTGGCAATAGTTTTAATAACCAACTGTTCTACTGCAGTGCTTCCAGTTCGTGAAAATTCATAATCTTCATAAGCTTTAGATAAACAGCAAGGATAACCAAAAGAAGCATTCAGAAACTTCCTTGGAAGGTTCCACTTTTGGCCAATAGCTCAAACAGTATATCAAAAATGGAATACGTATCCCAAACAAAAAGATGATACACTTCTTAATATTGAAATTAAGTTGAACTGACCTGTTTCTCAATTTTTCTGAATTTGATATCTAAATTTTATAAATATATTGTTCCATCTTTGATTGCAGCTATCATCAATTTTCTTTCCAAGACGCTATAAGAGGCCTTCACGAAGTCAGAATGAGCCTGCAATTTTCTTGGTTGCTGCAGTGTAGCCTTCTGTAGCATAAGATTCATGTTTTTATTGTAGAAGTTAAACTCTTTGTGTATCCAAGACAAAAAAATAAATTCGCAAAGATGTAAGTAACATTTGTTTTTTTTTTTTTTGATCAAAGATGTAAGTAACATTATAGCACGGAATTTAGAACTAAAGTCAAAGGTAAAATCAAGAATTTCAACATGAGTCTTGAAAATAAAAAACTCCTACCTTCATGAACACAATTATTTGCAAAAGGTTACTTAACTTAAACATCAGACTGAAAATAAAACCAATGCTTTACCTTACCGGTTTTGTCTCGCAACTCAGCATCAATTCAAACATCATCAGCTAAGTAAAAATTTGTTTATTTCTTCACCATAACCTAAAATAGCATCTTACCCCTCAGATTAAATATCAGATCTTTCCTTAAACCCTAAAACTCTAGTAATGAGCTTTGTCTTCTCCACATTGGGAAACACTAACCCTACGGTTCTCCTCCGGAAACTTGAGCTAATTTGTTTACACTCCCTATTCGATCTTTTCCTTCTTCTTCGAAACCATAACCATGTCCGTCAACATAATCATAGAATCAAGATTTATCCCATTCCCCGCGAGATTCTCCTTACCACCCTTGATACCAACGGCACGTTGAGGCTCCACCGCCTCGAGAACAGAAGCGCCATTGGTCAAGAGATCTCCAACGATGAGGCAAGTTTGATCCCTTTTGAAGATTCATTTGATGGATTTGGAAGTTCGGTAGTTTTTAATCTCCTTAAGACGGTTACTGTAACATTGCTCAGATAAATTAGAGCGTGTATCATCAACTCTGATGTTAATGAGATTTGAGTGAATAATATTAGGGGAAATTGCTTCTTTTTTTTTTTTTGGACAACGGGGAAATTGTTTTTAGGCCAAAAAAATTAGGACATTCTCTCTTTAGGTTAATTTATATTTTGTACCATTTTTGATTCTAGTGTCTTTAAGTATTTTTTTGAAATTAATCAAATAAATAGTTTTAATGAACAAAAAAATAATTCAAAAAGTAATAACTAATGATGAAACATCTATATCAACTTAGTGGTATTTTCTTTTCAGTTTACAAAATGTTTAAATCATAATTTCATATTTTCTTCTACAAATATTAGAATTGGCATTCTACACAGTAGAATATGAAATTAATTTTTTTCATAAAAATTACTATGTTCAAGATACATATTTTATGTAAATAATAGTAATCTAAAACTATTTGGAATACACATTCTGCACTTAACATATCCCTCTAAAATCAGTAGATATCAGAATTTAAAATTTACTATAAATCTAAAATATGTAGAAATCGATATCGACACATTACTATAAATACAATACCAGTAGAAATTGATTTCAAACATTGTTACTGCATTTTAAATATAGTAGAATATATATTCTACGGATAAGGACAATCAGTTGTAAAAATTTGGAATAAAATTGTAACAACCTGCTTCGTGGGAACTACCCGCCCCATGGCCGCCAGGCTGGCCCTGTAGGGCACCGACCCCAACTCTCCATCATGAGTTTTCACTAACTCCATAATTAGGTTATTGGTGAGGTTCGAACCCAGGTCCTCATGCACTCCTACAGGACAAGCTGTCACCAATTGAACTGCAGATCAACTGGTGACAACTTGTCCTGTGGGAGTGCTATTAAAGGGTGAGGACCTAGGTTTGAATCTCACCAACAACCTAATTATGGAGTTAATGAAAACTCATAATGGAGGGTTGGGTCGGTGCCATGCAGGGCCAGCCTGGCGGCCATGGGGCGGGAAGTTCCCACAGGGCAGGTTGTTACAATAAAAGTCGACTTTTTTTGTGACAATCCATCCTGTGGCTCACAAGCGCTGCAGCGCACCGACCCTAACCCCTTACCGTGGGAGGAACTGCCTCCACATCCACTGGTAGGTTATTGATGCGCTTGGCGTTACTCAAACCCAAGACCTCCACCCTTTAACAACTCTCCACAAGATAAATTGTCACCAATTGAAACGGGATGGGGCCCACGGGTCGAGAGAGCAGGTGTGGGTGGCCCATTAGCCGTGGGCGGTCGGGGCGTTACAAGTGGTATCAGAGCCGACCCCGACGAGTGTGGAGTCAGTGAGGGCTCACACTAACAGGGGTAACGATCTTGGGGTGCAACAGGGACGTTGCGTTCTTTGAGAGGGGGTGAATTGTAACATCCCGGTTTGTGGTATTTGGAAAAAAGTTTAAGAGAATTGATTTGGCTACCTATGTCACCAAAGTGCACTTACCTTTTCGGGAGCATATCCTGAGAGAACTCCAGAGTTAAGCGTGCTTGAGCTGGAGTAGTCAAATGATGGGTGACCTATCGGGAAGTGATCTGCGATACCGTGTAAGTGAGACCAAAGCACGGGGAAAGGTCATGTGGTGATTGCAGGGTCAGTAAACATGACTTTAGAGGCCATGGAAAATTAACGGACCGGCCGTTGGAACGGGATGGGCACACGGGCCAAGAGAGCGGGTGTGGGTGGCCCATTAGCCGTGGGCGGTCGGGATGTTACAAAAATATTTGGAAATATTCAGTTACCATATATAAAAATGTGATTTTTCAAAAAATAATATAATTATTGTTTTCTAATTAGATTTTCGAACTAAAAAAATATTTGTAAATATTTTTTTTTAAAAACTATTTGGAAATATGTACTATATTTTAACAAAAATATTTGGAATTTCAAAAATTTGAGAATAAATATTTGGAATATTTTCTTAGTTTCAAATAATTTTTTTTTTAATTTTGAATGATTATTTTTTAAAAATATTTGGATTTTTTTTTTTAATTTCAAAGTATTTTTTTAAAATATTTGGTTTTTTTTCGGGAATTTTTCTTATTTCGATTTAGTTTTATATAATTTGGAAATTTTCACGTATTTTTTAATTTTCAATTATTTTTTTAAAATATTTGGAAATATTTTTGGGAAATTTATTTTATTTCGAATTAGTTTTTCTTTATTCGGAAATATTTTTTAATTTTTAAAATAT